GAGTACATCAGGACGAGCCACAAAGACACTGCACAGAAATATGCTGCTACCATTTAACCAGATACCAGCATGTGACATTGATGAACCTGTTGTTTATAGGACACCTGTGACAAGGAGGAACAAGAAGCCTAAGAATTCTGATGAACTTCCGGAGTCCGATTCTGAGAGTTCGGATGATGAAGTAACAATTGAAGTGAAATCAAGGATACTCAGAAATAGAGATGAGTTCAGCAAAGAATCATCAGATCAACACAGTGTATCAAGATCTAAAGTTTCTAGTGTATCAGATGGTACTAATCAAAATATTTCTTCATTTCAGAATTCAAGTCCTTCCTTTCAGAGTGTGAGTTCTCCCAGACAGTCAGGTTACACCAGTGAGTCAGACAGCAGTAGTACCAGAGCTTCTGTGAGCGGTCCACATAGTCAGTTTATTTCAGACCAATCACAGTCGCCTTTACCGATTTTGCCGAGACGGTCGACCAGAATGAAAAAATTCCCAGATCGGTATGGGGAATGGATAATGTAAACGGTTTTTTATGATATTGCTTTATGCCGAGAACCGATTTTTATGCTGAAAACTGCTTTTATGCCGAAATGTTTTTATGATGCAGATTACCCGGGATTTTAATAAATTAAAATAAAAATTTAAAAAAAAAAAAAATATTATAATAATGACCATATTCATTATTCCCCTAATCCTTAAACTCATTGTATATAATAATTTGTGTCTAGTGTTTATGGGATTAGCTCTTAAAAGTTGTAAAACTTTAATGAGGTGTATTGAGGTACGTGTAAATAGTTTCATGACTTGTGTGTCATATGGAGTATGGAGGAATTCATTGGTCAGGTATTCCTACATTGATTGGTACATTTGTATATTATGTGTCTTGTTGATGTTTGAAGTTTGATGGTCATTGATGAGGTTTTAATTTAATTACTTGATTTCATTGTGGTGAGTTGTATCAGGTAAATTGGTTTTTATTTATATTTCATGGTTACTATTATTGTACATACTTCTTTGGAAATGTCAGGAGCCATTTCAACGAAGAGGGGGAGTATGTAACCAGGGTTATGTATTATTTAATGCCTTTAATTACTATACTAGCGCTGCGTATGTGTGAGAATGTGGTGTGAAAGACTTTGTGTGAATGAGGTTGTTGTTATTTTTAGACACTAGACGGACAGTCACATGACTTTATCCTATTCACCAAATTCCCGCTTTCACGCACTAACATCGGGCACTCTGAGCCTAGCCGTTGAATTGGTTAGATGTGTACTCTACTCTATAGTCAATAACAGATAGTAATATTTGTAATTCCTGTGTGTGTCCCGGTAAGAATCTATTCTAAAGTAAAGTCTATTATGTTTTAATTATCTGTCTAAATGTCTGTCTATGTGTCGTCTATATGTTGTGTGTAATTGTAATATTTCAGGTTTTTGACGTCTTATTTCAACATTAATAAATATAATATTGAACCTGAACCAGATTGTTAGTTCTGATGTTTTACCACTGGCTACATCTTAAAAGCAAAGAATATTACGACAGGTTCGTCCAGGAGACTAGGATAGAGCGCGTTTTACATTGTGCCAAACTCTTTCCCGCCACATCTCAACACCAAAACAAAGAGTTATGTAGTGACGGATCTAGAAGGAGTTCGGGGGGAGGGGGTTAACATCCTCTAAGAGAGAGAGCGAGGAACTCCACATATTATATATTTGTTACGTTTTTATTAAGTTAAAACTATAGCTTTGTTTAAACTTTAGTTTTGTACGTTTTATGTAAAAACTACTTAAACAGCAAACTCACAAGAGTTCGTTAAGTTGTATCAAACTGAGTGCAGGGACGCAGAGGACTATGCACAGTTTATATTGCCTATATATTTAATATTGTACATGCATTATTCATGAATAAAATCGGCATTGTCGCATGCATTTTTTTTCGTGTCACGAGGATATTTTAACAGAAAAGTATAAGAATTCTTGTAAACAAAAAAAAAAAAAAAAAAAAAAAACAGCAAATTTCAGGTTCTAAAATAATTTCAACAGTTATATAAATTGGTCTGCGGCCGATTTTTGACGCTTGCGTCAATATGTTTCGTGTATATACTTCATTCAATTCGTAGGGTTAATTGTCGATTAATTGTTTCATATTCTAGTATTCGGGAACATGCTTTGAAAAATTCTGTAAAATGTTTATTTTTATATTTATGAGTTAAAAGTTAAATAAATCCTTTACGAGTAATAAGTCATAATTTTAAAATAGGCAAAATTGTTTTTCTGTTTGCGTTCCGAGAAAACTTTTAAATTAAAAAAATGGAGGTACAATTTTTCTCTTTAAAAAATAAACTTCAAGAATACCATTTTTGCATACAAAATTGTTTATTTTTAAAGATGATATACTTCTTGATATGTTTTGTTATGAAATCTTGCTTACAATGACAACACAGGTGATACAAATAAATTTAATCATCCATACCTTTATAATTTCCAAAAAACTTCCATCCATCTCCTTCTTCAAGAAATCTTGTATTTAGCAGACACTCCATCACATTGCATATTTTTTGTTTATCGTTATATAGCAATCCAGAACACAGAGGGATATTCTTCAAACAGAATAATACACAAGATTCGAAAGTTATATTCTCAAAATGATCCAACACGCAACGACCATGTATTGGATACAAGTTGTCTAACAATGCATTCCGTGCCAATGTAAAATGTTGAAACTTGGATTTGGCATGTAAATGTTTCAGAGTAAATAACATCCACATCATTATTACCATTAATTTCAACATTTTAATTGAAGATGTGACATATGAATGAGAAAATTTTTTAAAAAGTTTTAAAAAAACACGATTTTTTTTATAGTTACGTGATAATTTGGTATTCTTATGAAAACACACGGCATATAAGCAAGGAGGGTCTTTCAAATACAACACCAGTGAGTTATTTGCAAGAAAATGATTCACAATAATTATCTGTTTTATGATTCCGAAGAAATTGGAAATTTGAAGTGTTTACTCATCAAAGCAATTTTATATCTATGCCCTGTATCCTTAAACTTATCCAGCTCGTTTAAGTTTTATTGATATTTAAAAATAATTCACTTGCTTTCTGTAATAAATCACAGCCTACCATGCAAAATTTATCAAAAGTATTGAACCTTTAAAATCGTTAATAATTTTTTTTAAGATTGTTATGTCACTTGTAAATATATTTTGAAAAAGAAAAAATTAATTGTCAATCAATACCTACATATATTTTGTCAAGTTATGGTTGCGCTTGATATCATTGACAGCTGCTTCTTCAATAAAAATGGAACTCGTAAATTTACTTACCTCGTCATTGGTCATTCGCAAAATTATTTTGTTAAAACAGATTCTGATTGCACACATAAGTACTCTGAAGTTGACATCAAGAAGATGCTTGAGTCTCTGATTGACAATATCTATGTGGTTTTTGGAGACCAGGTATTCCAACAATCTATTGGAATTCCAATGGGTACCAATTGCGCTCCGTTATTAGCAGACTTGTTTTTATATTCATATGAAGCCGAATTTATGCAAAATCTTATGTGTGAAAAGAAGAAAACACTTACTGTGGCCTTTAACTCGACATTTATGTATATCGTCTACGTATTGTCAATTAATAATGATAATTTCCATTCCTACGTCGATATCCAAGTGAGCTTGAGATAAAAGATACCACAGACACATCTGTTTCATACTTGGATATTTTACTTGAAAAAGACACTTATGGTAATCTTACAACCAAGCTATATGATAAACGTGATGACTAACTTTTCTATCGTCAACTTCCCTTACTTATGCAGCAATATACCTTCATCACCTGCATACCGAGTATATATATCTCAGTTGATTCGATACGCAAGAGCATGCTCTACATTATACGTATGAACAATGTTTTAAACGATTTAAATTATTGACAAGCATTTTGAAGAAATAAGAATATCAACAGTCTCGTTTAAAGTCATCATTTCGTTCGTTCTATGTCCAATATAATGACCTTGTCAGCAAATACAATTTATCATTGAGTTAAATGCTGACTGACGTTTTTCATACCAATTGTTAGTCCATTATTTATACACTGAATTGACGACAGACTTTTTCCGTTATTTCCTGATCATGACAAGGAGCACACGGCGGGTGTGACCGGTGGGCAGGGGATGTTCACTCCTCCATGGCACCTGATCCCACTTCTGATGTTTCGGGGGTCCGTGTTTGCTCTGCTCTTATTTTGTATTGTTTTATGGACTTTGAGATTGTATACTGTTCGTTATCTCCATATCCTTCTTTTACTGTATTTTCCTGCCTTGTTTTACAATTGCTATATTTAATTTGACAAGACAATGTTATTTCGTTATACCTGGTATATACATAGGACTCACGAGGGTTCTGACCTGTTTACAGGGGAGCTTTACTCCTGAAAGGCATCTGCCCTCTGAAATTTTCACAGGATTGTACGTTAAGTCCAGATGGTCACTGATTTATAATGCTTTCAGTATGTTTATTATATTTTTTCTTCTTAGATCTTTGTTTATTTTCTACATAATTCTTAAACTGAAGGTATTTGAAAGCATATATTTGTCGATGTGACTGGACGAAAAGGAATGTTTGCTCCTGTATGGCGCCTGCTTCTATCTGTGATGGTTTTAGGGTTCTGTGTTTGTTGTACTTCGTATTTGTACTAATTCTATTGGACATTTGAATATGTTCGTATTTAATATTTAAAAAATTGTAAGTATTAATCGAATGTTTTATAAATTTTAAAATACAATATCTGTATAGTTCCAGTCCTACTGTACATTTGAGCTTAGAAATTTTGTATTTAATATCAAAAAAAAAATAGTAAGTATTAAAAGAATGTGCGAGTTTTAAAATTAACATGAGGGGTTACAGTGTGTTTTTTAACTTAATTTTAAAAATGACAGTCTTTTGCAAGGCTTGCTATATCTAGTCTTAAGATATTTTTCGCGGCTTTTACAACATTTTTTCACAGACAAAGGCGTATACGTGCAGTTGCCTGTCGCAGCGAACATCAGTCCAACTCCCTGTGTATTCCATGAACACACAACTTCCACTTCCATCAAGTCTGTTCGTTACCCATGACTGAAGGTTGACAGGTTCGTTGCTATGTTCCCATGTAAGTATTCCGTTTTTCCTATTGGCTCCTATCCATGTAGTGTCTACAAGATGAGTGTTCCCATTTCCTGCAAATCGATACAATGAAAAAATACAACTAATACTGCTTATATAATAAAGTTTTTTTTTTATCCATTATTGAATCACACCTTAAATCAGTTAATGTAAAATGATAATTTTAAAAATGAGGCTTATTTAAGTTATTGGATAAACTTGAAGAGTTACAAGGTGTAATGACAGTTGATGAACGGTATAGAAATAATATTTAAGAAATGGATAGCAAGTTTATAAACTTCAAGGGGATTTGAAGTGGATCGGTCATGTGATAAAATCCTGTGAAGACCTTCTCGGAAGATTTGATCATGTACCGACCCACTTCATATTAATAATTCCCATTGAAGTTTATTAACTTGTTATTTATTACTTATCAATACGAGGGTTGTCCCGTTAAATCGTGGACAAAGCGTTTTTCTCGAAAAGTAATGGGCGCACTAAGCTGAAAATTTCAGTAAATGTTTATTTATCATATATATATATGCACGATAATTTTTTTTGATAAAATATAGGCAAAAATAAAGATTTTATTATGCTTGAATTGAAGGTTTTATTAAAGAATACACAAGTTTGAATTCAAAATAAAAATTTCAACTACATAAGATTTGGATTAAAATTATCTTATTCAATTCCACAATCAATTTTGTAGTCTGTAAAATTTTTTAGGCATTTGCTTAATGTTTGGCAGTTTCTCGAGCATTCGAAATGGGAAAGCGGTAAAAACACACGATAAATGGCGACGTTTTATGACGTTACGGCGCACTGGAGAAGAGTTCAGTTTTATTTCGATGTTGTAATGACACCTTTAGAGACTTGAAATGACAATAGAAGAAAAAAGATTATAAAAATATCACCAAATCTTAATTATACAAAGGAAATAGTATTTTTCTTAGCGAAGTTTTTTTTTCATCGAGTCCCTGCGGTGTACAAAACATACGGACAAACTCCTAATGTAAAGCAAAAGACGTTGTCACAGTAGACCGCCGATATGAGATGTTCTATTAGTTGAATGGTGGTGAGAATATTGTCCGTAACTTACTAATAAATCTACAAAAAATCGCATGAGGGTGCCAATTGGTTCTTCGGCTGTTTATGGAGACTAAAGAATGTGTATCAATGAAATTCATAAATTTAAGTTGGACTCATCCAACTTCATTTTCAACAAAGATAAAACGTGACGCTGTTTTAGACACTTTGACGTTATAATCCATGCACCGTAATGTGATACAATACATGGCATAAAGTCTCATAATTTTTTTATGCATATATTTATCTGAAATTTTCTGTGTATATTGCTTAAATATGTACTAAATGATAGTGAAAATTTCAGAACGCAGTGATGTTTATTTTTAAAAACAGACTTTTCCACAATTTACAGGACAACCCTCGTATATACATGTACATTCGAGACGGACAATTAAATATTTTCGAATGTTAATTATATTGCACTAACCGTTCGTCGTAGATTTTGAAAAATGACGAAAGGTGTAAATCGGTTTGATTGGCGGTTACGCTTTGAATTCACCAGGCTAAGAATTCCATTTCGAAGGAAATATTTTGTGAAAGGCTATTTGTGATCAGTAATAGTGAACAGATTGTTGTCTGGGAATATTTTTATTCGTGAAAATTGATAATCAATGCTGAAAAGACACAAGAAACACGTCCAAAGATCGCCGATAAAAAGCTGGAGGAATTTCGGTCGTTGGGAAGGGATGGATGGAAAAACTTGACCGAGCCAGTTTATTTACAATCAAGCATTAAGTTTGATAAAAAAAACCATTCAATCTACGATTTCAGTAACTAAATGTATAAATATGATGTGAACACGGAGACACTGGGGACAGCTTACATATTGAACTACGACAAGGCCGAGGTGTTTATCAGCTGTTCGTGGCGTGATTGTGATGCTTCGATATTTTCCAACATATTTACACATTTATCGTGAGTAGAATTTAATGAAAAAAATATATTTTATAGAGACTGTGCAACTGACAAAAGTGACATAAAACTTGTAAACAAACTTACAAAGGCTAGATCTAGTCTCTATCGGTATATATAGTTGTATATTCTCTATGTACACAGGATAAATCGATAGCCAAAAAATGTATGAAATACTTGTTTACATAGTAAATAAAGTAATTATAATTTTACTTGCTGATTTAGTTCATTTTTATACATGTAGAGCAAGTCATTTCATATTTAAGTACCGATAGTTAATATTGCACCGTGTATTCACCTTTGACCTCCGAAAAACTTCACACAGAATTGAAGATATTTGTTCTCTGTATGTTTATATATTGGAGAGATACCACAAATGTATATATTCTCTATCAAAGATATCTTACCATTTTCTGACAAAAACATTTCAGATATCCATTTGTTCTCCTTGGCTGAATTCATCTCTACTAAGTAAGAGTTTTTCTGTGTACACTGGGTCTAAAACGAACACAAGAAATTAACTAAACAAATTATATTGAAACAATACACAATAGGGTCAAAGCAAACAGTGACGGACCCCCCCCCCCACCCACCCATCCAAAGATATCAGAACTGAGATTAAATGCCACAAAGAAGAAAGCATTCCAAATCAACTGGTAACACCGCGTAATCATTGTTATGATAAGACAAACAGAAATAATCTGTACATTTGACATTAAAATTTGTATGTAGTATACATTTTGGCATGTTGATCATTCATACATTATATATAAATTTGCTGAAAAGAACTCAATCATAATGTATAGACCACAGAATCTGGTAGACTTTAAATCTAATTGCATGAAGGATATGGAGATAAAACAAAGTCCATAAAACAATACAAAACAGGAGCAGAGCAAACACGGACTTCCGGAACATCAGAGGTGGGATCAGGTGCCATGGAGGAGTGAGCATCCCCTGCTGACCGGTCACACCGTTTCTTCCTTTACCCAGTTTCAGGTAACGTTTCGATCTGTTTCTATTTCAGTGTAACTGTTTGACGATGAAGCATCTCTTGTCTCCTTATTACGATGCTTTACAGTTGATTCTGCTGATTTTTTCCTGAATGATCTTCCCCCTTTATACAATTCATTTGACAAATACTTTCTTAGATGTAAATACCTTGGCTGCTTTCCATGTTACTTTTGTTTCATTCAGGTAATAACAGTGGCCTTCAAATGGATGCCATCCCGACTCGCAGGCTTTAACACAAAGATTAGAATTAAAAAAAAAATAACAACTAACATTTTATACAGAAAAGTATTTTTGGAAATTATACTTAACAAAAAAGAAACGCATATTGTTTTACTCGTCAAAGTAAGTTTTAAAATGTACATGGAATAACTATTTTTTATATCATTGGATACCTGTGACCTATTTAAAGGACAGCAAGGGGTTTTCAAACCCAAGTGTTGAATTATCTCCCTTGATTAAACATGTTTATGAAAGTAGTGTATTTCATTATTTCTTCTAAATCGGACGTCTATTTTAGTTGATATTTTGGATTTCGAGAAACTATAAACACTTCTACTAAACCCATATTTAAGATTTGATTGAAGTGTTGATGCTGCAATGTCCTGCCGAAACAAAGATGAACACAACCAGGCTAACGATGATATTAAACGGAGCTACGCAACAGGAAGTTGCAACTGCATTTGAAATACATCAATGGGCTTTGCAGCCGTTAAGCTAATGTCGGAAGACCAAGAATTGGCCGTCTGCAGGTAACCACACCCAGGCAGGACCGTCTGACCCCCCCCCCCCCCCTTCAGCACCTCGCGCGATTGAAAACTTGCTGTAAAGACTGCTGCTACAATTGCTGGGTGAAACAATCAGCATAAAAGTGCATAAATTGTTCGCAAGAGATTGAAAAGAGATGGTATTCCTCCACGATATCCGTACATTGGAAACCCACTAGCATTGAGACGTCGCACAGTACATATTGTTATGCCCCTTGAATTTTGGGGCGATGAAAATGACATCAATTGACTTTTCAATTTGCAACATTGGACATGTTTGATTTTTTTCAGAAGACACTCTAAAATCGCTTAAATAAAATATAAGGTTTAAACTGAAAACTTAGATTTTCATACTATTCTGAATATGCGTTTCTTTTTTTGTTGAGTATATAATTTAGTTTTTTGAAGGAAACAGAAAGTGGTGGAAATGGTACATAGAGTATGATGTAATATATATTCGGACAAGATGGCGGCTTGTTTTCATTTTCGTCACGTAAGAAACATATTTTGATGTAAATAAAAAGGTTTAAAAATATTGTTGGTATTTTGGGTATTTATTCTTAACCTCCGATGGGCATGTGACATTTGATATGTCACGTGATTTTATTTTCGTCTGCTTTGTTTACAAAATCTGACGACTGAAAGTAATATGGGTCGAAAAGGAAAAGAATTCAGTAGTGAGGTGAAAGAACTTACCAAGAAATTATTATAGATGAGGGAAAAACTGTCGGGTATGTGACAGATGTTCTTGGTTTATTCCACTCTACCATTGAATCACTGAAAAAAAAAAAAACGTTTTGAAGAGAGAGGTTCAATAGAAAACAACCCGCGAAGTGGACGACAGCCTACTGTGACAGATCGTGACTATAGATACTTCGAAAGGTTGCTTAAAATTAACAGGAGGGATAGTTTAACAGAAATTAATATTAAATTCAATGAAAACAGGAATATTCCAGTACCTAAACGTACCTTACAGTTGCATTTGCACAAACATGGATTCACAGGACGTGTATCGAAGAAGAAACTTGTGATAAGGGAGGTAAATCAAAGAAGGAGATTGTCATGGTGCCGGGAAAAACGAAAGTTAACTGTGGGAGGATTTTGGAAGAAAGTTCTTTTCTCGGACGAATCAAAAATCGTTATTGGACGTGATTCAAAAGTGTATGTATGGCGCAAGAGGGGTGAAAGATTGAGGCCTGATTTGGTGACTCAGTGCCCTTCAAAGCTCAAAACCATGCTTTGAGATCATGATCTGGGGATGTATTACTTGGAATGGAATTGGTACCATCACGACTGTAAATGGAAATATTAACGCTGAAATATACCAGGATATTCTTGATAACAATCTGTGGCCAGTTATAGCTCGCCATTTTCCATCTGGTGACTATATATTCCAGTGTAACGTGCAACGCGGTCGAGCTTGTTGTGTGTGGTGATATGTCTTGTATCACCGAGGCGTTACACTAGGTTCGTTAACCTGTTAACTCAGGTTTTTGTTGACCAAATAAAATTACAATCAAATATATACAATGGATCAACGGGTTTCTTCTTGATTAGATAACCACTAACTGTGGTCAACGGGTGTCTCCCGTAAGTAGATTTCTTCGGTCCTGTCACTTCTCACTGTACTGACTCCTGGCACTTCCCCCCACTTCTCACTGTGGTATGCAACCTCTCTCGATCTATACTACCCAGTGACTGCCGTATTCAGGTCTTACGCTTTTGGGTAGTCTACAACACGTAGCTGTCTATCCCCCGCAACTGTCTGCCTTATTCAGGTCTTATGACCGTGTGTAAGAGGAGAAACTAGCTAAGGTTTCACAACTCCGTCACCAGAGAGGTCTCAAAGGTCCTGCAATATAATTGGTATTATCCCAATGCAGTCCCTATATAGTGGCAGATTCATACTACTTGTATGATCGTAAAATTAATATTTTTTAGTGTTTAAGACTTTAAACAGAAACGTAGGTCTAACGTTAATACGAAACTAAACAACACCAATTTCCGTTTCACCAGGACGATAATGCCCCAGTACATCCTGCGAGATCTTCCCAGGAATTTATGCACAGAAATAGAACAACTGGAATGAGCTGGCCTGCACAAAGTCCAGATATCAATATCATCGAAAATCTATGGTTACTGATCAAGAGAAAGCTACAGGCACGAGTTGGGAGAATTGCGAGTAAGGATTATCTTTTCCGCAAAATCCAGTGTATTTGAAGAGATATCAGCCCAGACTTCATGAAATGTCTCTACCGCTCTATTCCCCGCAGATTAATGAATGTAATTCGACTCAAAGGGCATTTCACAAAGTACTAGGTAAGTTTTATTATTCATTTAATGTTTTTAATGCAATATCTCGACTCGAAAATTGACCTAGTTTCGTATCAAATGTAAACACGCTGCCATCTTGTCTGAATATATATTGCATCATACTGTATGTCTTCTAAAGGTGTTTTGTCAAGAAACAAGAATTCAAAATTCATATAATTATGCTTCATTCACTTTTAAAGATTAATTAACAATGAATGTATCAAAAACTAGTATCAGGGAACATGTTTTGAAACATTCTGTTGAAAGTTTGCATTAAATTTTACTTATTTAGTTTTATGAGTTAAAAGTAAAATATATATCCATTTCTAATTTTTATCTCTGTGATAACTCTTTGAAGGTTAGGGGAGTTGATTTCTTGATAATTCTACCGGAATGTAAACTAGACAAGTTAATAGGTCAGGAGCTAAGGAGGCCTAATATGCATGCAAATTTCGTGCGTATATGTCTCTGTGCTTGACGCTTAGGAGGCCAAATATGCATGTAAATCTCGTGCAGCTGCCTTTGTGTTTGACGTGAGTAAGAGAGGACTACTGAAATTGGCATGGGAGTCCTCGTGCAATTTAAACCTATGTCTACATTTTTTAAGTCTAAATCTACAATTTTATTTCACAATGAAAAGGAAATATAAAGAATCACTGTCTAGTTATTATAGTATGCCAGGGACATCAACGATAGTGGGAAAAAATGGATAATTTATGCATATATACCATATACCATATACCATATATACCATTTTTCTCACTATCGTTGATGCCCTAGCATACTATACTAACTAGACAATGATTTCTTAAACATCATTTCTCTACAAGTAATAAGCCATAACTAAAAACTTAATGGACAAAGTTTTCAGCTTTGTTTCAAAATTTTTTTTAAATAAAAAAAAAGAAGTTCAATTTTCCTCTTAAAGAAATAAACTTAAAGATTACCATTTTGCATACAAAAATGCGTACTGGTACTTTTAAAGACGATATTTTTCATGATATGTTTTCCTATGAAATCATGTACAATGACAAGAATAATCCATACAAAACAATTATTTTTCATACCTTTATAATTTCCAAAAAACTTCCATCCATCTCCTTCTTCAAGAAATCTTATATTTAGCAGACACATCATTACATTGCAGATTTTTAGTTTATCGTTATATAGCAATCCAGAACACAGAGGGATATTCTTCAAACAGAATAGTACACAAGATTCGAAAGTTATATTCTCAAAATGATCCATAACGTAATCCTCGTGTACTGGATACAAGTTGTCAAACAATGCATTCCGTGCCAATGTAAAATGTTGAACACTGGAATTGGCATATGAATTTTTAAGAGTCAATGACATCGATATCAGTATCACCATTAATTTTAACATTTTAATTGATGATGGAATGTATGAATGTGAGAAAATCTAAACCTTTCTTTTTTTCTAAAAGTCACCACACGATTGTTTTAACTGACGTGATAATTTGGCACTGTTGTAAAATAATCAAGATATAAGCAAAAAGGACTTTACATATGCAACTCCAGCGAGTTACATGCAAGAGAATTATTGACAATAATTCTCTGCTT